TCAATTCACATTAAGTGATAAATGCTCATTTTGTGGAAAAGAAGAGGAAACATATAGGCACATATTTTTTGAATGCGAAATGGTGAGAAAATTATGGGATCAATGTAGTGATAGTTTGGATATTCCAATCCTTAAAGATATGAGCTGGAAGGAAGTTCACATTGGATTAGACGAAATAACCGAAGATAGGCAAATGATTAATCACGTGGTTTTATTAATTAAATATTTGATATTTATTAGTAGGGAAAAAAAGAAGCCTCCAAGTATTGAAGAAATAAGAGAGAAAATATTCAAAAGTAAACGGGAAGAAAGAAAGAGTGCTACTGAACGAAATACGTTGACGCTCCACTATAAAAAATGGGAACATCTCAAGGTAAACATGGATAATATGCAAGAAAATGCAAGGGATGAGGAAAGGGGGGGCCTGCCCGGTTCACAGCTGTGTGTGATTGACCGGTCTCGACTGCCATAGACTGCCCACGTCTTCTTGTATCGTTTTTTGTTTTTTGTTTTTTTTTTTTTTTTTTTTTTTTTTTTTTTTTTTTTTCTTTCTTTTTTTTGGTTTTTTTTTTTTGTTTTGTGTTTGTTGTTGTTGGTTTTGTTTTTAACGGGGGTAGGGGATTTAACAAACTTTATTCATTCGATATAACTAAGTTGATTGTAGTCTGTACTTTTTTCCAATATGTTATAAATTATAATATGTAATAGGGATACTAGTAGCACAGAACAAAATATAGAGGGGGGGGGGGGTTATAACAATATTAATTCATTCAATATAATTGAGATTACTGTATTTTGTACTCTGTAATTGGTTTCAATATGTTATATATTACAATTTGTATGAATTAATATTATTTATTGAGTGAATACAATAAAGAATATTACAAAACAAAAAACAATGCAATCGCATGACCAGAACTCAAATTGTATCTTTAAGTGATGAATTTGCATGTGTAATATATAATAAATCGGTTATTCAATTTGTATAGTTTAAAAGTGGACCTCGTACCATAGCTAGACATTTAAGTGAACTGTCAACTTACTGTATACAATATTACAATGCACATGGCTGGCACATAATAAACAAAAGTACCCTAAATCAATTTTACGACGTGATTTGTGGTTTCATCATTTAAGAATCTAAGCACCGAATCCATTACCAGGAAACACGAGAAAATAATGATCTACAGTGCGTATAAAAAGTGGTGACTTCTTATCAAAAAATTATGGCCTGTGTAACCTTGTCTCATATTTAATGGCAAGAAGCAACTAATTTCCTGTCTAATGATACCAGGGCTCCAATTAATTTTTTGGCCACGGGAGCTCTTCTAAAAAGAAAAGAGCCCCCCGTGAGCCTTCTCACGGGGGCTTTTTTAGTACTGACGGGGGCTCTTTTTTAAATACAAATTTCCATTTATAATACTAAATTCTTTGCTACATGTATTTCATCATTATTATTTATTAAGTCTGCATTTTTCCTATTACAACTTTACAAGTTACATGCAGCTATAATGGTCAGATCTCCCCGACCCCTACTCAACGCAGCTATACCCACTGCTGACGTCCGCATTGCACTGCGAGTTTCCGTTGTTTGTTTCGGTAATACTCACAGAGATGTGGAGGTGGGAGATATATATTATATATTTTAAAACTCCACGGGGGCGATTTTTAATTTTGCAACCGCCCCCGTGAGCAATCTGACGGAGGCGATTATGTAGCTCACGGGAGTGAATCGCCCACCGCCCCCGTGTATTTTCAGCCTTGAATGAAACTCATAATTGTGCTGCCACGGATGACTGAGCAGCAGGCTTCTCAACAAATTGTCAAAATCTAGTTGTACCAAGTTTGAACTGGAAAAATTAATATGAATCAAAAACCATTATGTGTGTTTCATCCCATTCAAGAAAAATTTGCTCACTTATTTACCTTGACTATATCAGGCAGTTGAAAATAATGGGTATTAATATCAACTTCTACTTTACAAGCACTGCTTTTCAATAGGTTCCTCACATTCCACTTATTATCATATGAATTGAGTGTCATCGAGACGTGCTCATCATACTACATTATTATATATTTATATATAATTTCTATTTTAAATGTCTTTCTTTATTTTTGGTAAAACGTGGAATAAATAACCTTGGAACTTGAAACTTGAGAATTGAAAATTGAAACTTGAACCTTGAAACTTGAAACTTGAAACTTGAAACACAATGAAGTGCTTATTACAAGCAAAATCTCGATTTCACGATCTCGATTTCGCATCCTTTGTTTAAGGTAACCCTTCTCGTTCTTTTTTTACACGAACATGAAACTTGAAACTTGAAACTCAAGGAAATGCTTATTACAAGCATAATTTATGATATTCTCTTAGTTATGATGGTAACAATCTTGACTTTATTCGCATCCCTTGTTTAAGGTAACCCTTCTCATTGAGTGGTACAAAATTGATAAAATTAATTTGGGATGTTTTTATGAAAGTCTACTGTCTATTCTTTTTATACTTGTCATCAAATGTGTTATTTCTTGCCTTTTGGTCTAGTAACCTATGAGTTTTCTTTCACTATTCGAGATAAACACATCGTGCTCCTTACTCGTGTGAAATGGCGCAGCGGCTAGCGAGAAGAGAGATTTTAGATATCATGAGCCAAGAAGTTAGTTGGCTGTTCAAAAATAAATAAATGTTAGTTATCCCATTGATCAAAACAAGGGTCTGTGAAGGCCTAGATACATTGCATCATTTTTAACAATAAAGCACTGAAGCACAAGGCCTAAAGTTTAATAGGATTTAAGACCAAAGAAGCACATGCATATGACCTGATTCACATTCGTTGCATCAACCCGAATTAGGTACAGTGCGATTTTGACAACACTTATTAAAGTACACTTTTTTCTCATACGCACTGTATAATTATTGCATTTCCTCTTTAGCGGTGATAATTACTTAACACAAAACTAATGTCATCACAACGAAAGTTCGTTATCAAAAGTAAGACTTGATTTGCTCCATATGCTATTTTTTAAAGATCATTAATAATCTCAATATTTCCGCATATAGATCAAATATACATAATTATCTATTTCTTATTGCACATTCCCTCCTTATAGAGGTGATAATTACTTGACACAAAATTAATGTCATCACAACGAAAGTTCGTTATAAAAAATAAGACTTAGTTACCTCAAAATAGCATTTTGAAAGATCATTATTCATCTCAATATTTTCTGCATATAGATCAAATGTACATAATTATCCACTTTGTATTGCACATTCCCTCCGTATAGAGGTGATAATTACTTGACACAAAATTAATGTCATCGAAGTGAAAGTTCGTTATCAAAAGTAAGACTTGGTTAGTTCCAAATGCTAATATTGAAGACAATTAATCATCTAAATATTTTCTGGATATAGATCAAATATACATAACTATACATTTCTTACTGCACATTCCCTCCTTATAGAGGTGATAATTACTTGACACAAAATTAATGTTATCGAAGTGAAAGTTCGTTATCAAAAGTAAGACTTGGTTAGTTCCAAATGCTAATATTAGAGACAATTAATCATCTAAAGATTTTTTGCATACAGATAAAATAACCATTATTATTCATATCTGTTTGCATATTGACGATGTTCGTAAGAGGAATTTTGAAACTGATTTGAAATAAAATTTATACCCCTTAATGCGAAGTGGGGGGGGGGGGGGTAGGGACAGTTGCTTTCAATTAATTTCCGGACATGAGCTTATTATTGACGTGTTATTATTACTACTATTATTAGCATCATTATTCTTATTATTCTTATTCTTAGATTATCATTTTTATCGTTGGTATTATATTTGTTATTAGTATATTATTAGGGATTTTAAACTAGATCCCACCTCAGAAACAATATGACTCCTCCCCTCATTGTAAAACTTACTCTATGTGTTTGAAGAACGAATTGATGACAGCCAGGGTATGGAAACTACAAATGGACAAACAAATATTGTATACGATTGCTGTCAGTATTTTAAAATGTTTGATGAAACTTCAGGATGCATTTTAGTTTCATTAGATATCCTGGTTAATGCGAATTATAATTGTTGTCTTGTCACGAGATTTGACAGCGTCAGCGTTGAAGCTTTTGGTTTCGGTAATGTGCATTTTTGGCCTAAAGAAAATTTCCAGTCATGCACAAATTTGTCCTTGTACAACCCATGTACGAAACAAATATATTCCGTCATCAATAACTAAGATAATGAAAGTAAATGAAATGTTCTGTAAAGAGCAAATGAGAGGGGAGCTCGTAAGATGCATTGCAGAGTACCAATTTCTGTTTGATTGACAGTAAGGGGGCGGGGTGGAAGGGGGTGGTGGCGAGGGGTACACCGGCTTCCTCTAACAGTTAATACGCCATTGAATGCAGGCTGAAAATTTTACTTATACATTTGAGTATTATTAGTTATTTTTTTAGACAATATACACTGTTGCCACTAAAGTTGGATTTTTAAAAATAAACTATTTTCATGAAATGCTGTTGTCAATAAGGTTTACTCCTAATAGATATGGTTTGTATCTTCTCATGTATTGATCAAACTATATGACACTTGAGATTGATCAATGCAGTTCTTAGAACATATAAACTGTATCCATCGAGAATAAAAGTGACTCGGTAACATTATTGAAGGTTCTTGAACAAATTGCGTAATTTTGTATGAAATGTTACTCATTATATTCCTTTTACTGCCCTCTAACATGCAAAATATCCCCGATGTTTTATCATTAATAATGGTCTGTTTCCACTCAAATTTTCAGATTATCTTTGATTTTACATCTAGCATGTAAGTCATTACCTTAGCACCATCTTCTCTCATCTGAACAATGTTACCAAGTCCCTTTAAATCATATTTTTTCACAATCATTTCACGAAAAGAGGTGACAGTGCATCTTATGTATACCTTACAGTCCGTAGTCTTCATCGAGATACAAGGGGAGTCACTGTGCTTGGCCTCGGCACTGTATGGAGACATGATGGACATGGCGGACAGGATGACCGACTTCATGATGGACAGAAAGCAACAGGTAAGATGACGAACGTAAAAACTTCTAACAAAAGGGAACATAATGCAATTTTTCTGGCCTATATGTGTGCGCCAGCTATTAAAATGTGCTAATATAAATGAACACGATCTCAACTATACTTTCAAAAAGACAAAGCAAGGGCAATTTTAAAGGCATCGTTTAACAATGTTAAATCTGAGATGCATCGTCCTACGTGTTATCAGTGTCTGTGATAATTTTATGGTGTAATATTGAAGCCCTAAAAAAAATTAATCAGTGCACTTCAAAATTATCATGAAGTGCCTCAAAAAAGTAAAAAACTTTGGGTGACCGGTTTTACCATACTCATTTTCCCCAATAGACTGTAGTGTCTTAAAAACCGTTAGGAAAACGCAAAATTTAATTTCGAATTCCAGTCATAAATACCTTGATAATCAGACAGGCGATCGGCTTGTAAAAGTCATGAGATTCCTGACTGACCTAAAGGTTTATGTTAGATCTTAAATATGCATTTAGATCATACGCCTTATAAGGTATAACAACTCTATTTGTTGCAGAGTGTTTTCATGGAAGTACAATTTTAGGTTTAAACTCAACTTACCTTTTTAACAATAATCAGTTTCATTCATATATAATTACCTTTCAATACATGGTCGTTTCTTGTAAATTGCTTTTTAGCAACTGTTTGTTAAGTTTAAGATCAATTTACCATTTTAACAATAATCAGTTTCATTTATATACAATTACCTTTCAAAACATCGTCGTTTTTTGCTAGAGGATTTTTAACAACTCTATTTTAAGTTTAAGATCAATTTACTATTTCATATTATCAGTTTCATTTATATACAATTACCTTTCAAAACAGGGTCGTTTTTGCTAATTGCTTTAAACTATTTAAAAATAAAGTCAAAATGTTATCAAGACTAAGAGTGTAGTTTCGCATGCCCAGAAAAGATAAAAATTATGGTACAGGTATAATGTAAATTAATTTGTGACGATAACCATCATTTTATTACATATCTTCCCATTCCTTTTATAGACGATCGATATAGCAACCGCACGTACCAAGACCATAAGGTACGCGCGAAAAGGCGCCATCCCGGCCGGTTACGTCACCACCTCCAACGGACCAATCATACGCGGTCTCTGCGCAGGAGACGAATCTCAATGGACTGAGCAGACCACAATGGACGGTGGTCGGAAGCGGCGGTCGGTTTCGGGCGACATCCGAATTTGCATATTCGGGTTTTGTTTCAATATTTCATTTTAATGAAAATAGCTGCAACTGAGTGGTTTAAGTGATTTCTCTTGATTTTAATTAACATGAGTATTTAAAAAAAAAAAAAAACTTCCATCCCATAGCTGATGAAATAAAAAAAAATGCTTCTAAAGCTGAGTAAATTAAAGTTTCTTTTTTGTGCGTGTAACGCCACGTTACCACAACGCTCATAAACTGTCTCGACTCGGTCGCACACATTTTTAACTCGGTGGTTGCATTTTAAACTCAATAAATATTAGATTGTATATAGGTATATTAAGTGAACTCATTTGTATGCTTCTATCAATTGAAAATCCAAATCCAAGTCCCAATTGTTTGGAATTTTTTGGATAAATAATGATAAGTCCAGCTATAATTCAAACCATGGAAGTTTAAATTATCTCAAGGCCTTAACTGCTTAAAACAACGACCATGTTGTTTTCAGAATTATTTGATGCATACATTAGTTTGCTATATCTTGTCGTTGCACTGTATGATAATCTAGTCAGTGATTACAAAGTCATGTAATACAACGTAGAAAATATCTATCATTATATATTTATATGTCACATACTTTTAAAAAAATATCTACGAATATGACTCAGCATATTAAAACAATAATTGAAAAGGACAAAATCTTAAAAGCTTCCCCAGCATCGGGGCAAGTTGTTACAGTTTTTTGTTTTTTTAGCTCGTAATTTCTTTGATGTAGGCCTATTAAATAGGAATTAATATTTTTCTTCTTTCTATTCTGGTTTCAATAAAATTAATAGAAACATTAATATCAAGATCAAGAATTTAATGTATGAATGTTATCATTGTGTTTGAATGATATGCATCATGATGGAATTCTTTAACAGCTAGACTCGGACACAAGTTCAACGTCATCAGCGAACTTTTTTCAAGAAACGATGCCCATATCTCCCTATATGAGTGGAAAGGGAAAGAGTGAGTGAGAGAAGGAAGCATAGACGTATGAAGAGCTTGATTCCAAAATGAGCTATATCATGATTTATTTTGTTTGGTCTTAAAATGCTTATTTACTACATGGTAACACATCGCACTATATCACGTTATGAAATTTTATCTTGAAGTATAAAAAAGATAGCTACAAAACTATGTTTAATTCCAAAAGGAGCTAAATTCATTAAAAAAATATTTAAAATTCGGCACAAATATAATATACTTGGTAGATTTTAAAAAACCATATGTATGGTTTAACATATATAAAAGATGAACATATAATATTACTAAAGGGAAAGTGGTAGAATGAAAAACGGTGATTTACTAGCTCGGAAATACCCCCAAAATGGATGTATAGTACCTTTTGGTACCGAGCTCTTCTTATATTGATATGGATGGAGTGCGTGGTGATTATGAACAGGGATATAGAAAAAGAGGTAAGAAAGTGAAACTGGACGAGATGAATTGTTTTAAGTAAAAGATGGAGGAAATAGGAAAGATACACAAACGGACAAAGAGACATTATAATAGTTGCAAAAAAATGAAATAGATAACGAGAGAAGAAAGAGAGAGAGAGAGAGAGAGAGAGAATTGGGATGGAAGGAAAGAGAGAAAGAGAGAGAATGAGAGAGAAAGAGGGAGAGAGAGAGAGAGAGAGCGAGTGAGGGAGAGAGAGAGAGAGAGAGAGAGAGAGAGAGAGAGAGGAGGGGGATATATAGATAGAGGGACAGAGAGATAGATAGATAGACAGCCATATTTTATGTTTGGATTGAAATCAATAAAGTTTGAATTTGAATTTGAATTTATATATTTACAGTCAAACCTGTCTATAGCAATCGCCCAAGGGAAACACAAAACGTGGCCTTTGACGACAGGTGGTCTTTGTATACAGGCCCCTTTAGTACATGTTTCTATGAGAAACCAATCTCAAGGGAAACAAAAAATAGGGTCTTTGTAGACAGGAGGTCACTAGAGCAGATTTGACTGCATATAATATATAAAAGAAAGAGATTGGAAAGGGGGGGGGGGTGGGTTAAATACTCGCACATCTATTTTCGGACTACGATTACAACTTTAAATCAAAGTGCCCTAAAGAAAAAAAAGTGTTGAATAAAAACGCTTTTAGCTTTCGAGTCTATCGTAGAGGAGGTCAGTCTCCTTCAGTCGTATCGAAACACAGAACGGTTTGCCCTCTTCATTCCGATGTTTATTAATTTTAGATGTTCCTGGAAATTGACATGCAGAGACATGAATCGAGATGACAATCCCTCTGCTTTCGAATGCAACGTTTTAGATAGGTTTATGAACAATCAATTTATATGTGTTTATAGAGGGACGACCTTCAAAAAGATTAGTGCCTAAAACAGTCGTCACTGGACCTGCAGTTTCTTAAAGAGGAAAATCATTACCGAATTTTGTTCACCTATATCTATCCCTATATTTCCTGTGAGATAGCATTGTGTTAACGGTTGACAATCTCTATTTCTAAAAACATTCGTTCTGGGACCCGTTTCACGAAGCCTTTTTTTCAATGACAAATGGCAAAAATCAGTGACAATTCTGCTGATAACCAATTAGAAGCAAGGATTTCAGTAGCTTATATTCAAACAAAAACTGTCATTTGTCACTGATGACATGTTTTGTGAAACACCCCCCCCCCCAGGATCATTACCGATTTCTTTAAACCATCTCTCTCCTTTTGTTTCCTGTGCGATAGCATTGTTTTAACGGTTGGCAATCTCCTATTCTAAAAATATTAACCGTGCGGGGCTGGAGTCCTGTTTTGGGCTTGCTAATCAATATATATCAGGTCCTGTTTTAACCGCTAATCTAATAGTTAAACTTCCATAGAAGAAGTCGTATGAAAGGGGATCGGCATAGTATTAGAAAGGAGAATTTCTCTTCTCTTTGCATTCTCACTTTCCGTGGAGTAGGAATAACTGTAGGAATCTGATGCCATATTAGCTAACGACTTTTCACCAAGAATTGAGAGAAAATGGAGAAGACAATGGACTCAACATCGGTAATTCGTTTGCTCTTAAATATTTATGTTGTAATTGACATGGTAATTGTACTTGTATTTGCAATTGCAATTGTAATTAAACTGATTTTTTCTCGAACATACATATTCATGAGAATTAACATATAAATGTGACATTAACTAGTTTTCCGACACAGTATATGAAATTATAATGAATTGCGAAAACAAATAAAAGAGTGACAGATTAATGCATAATCAATATAAATTAGATAATCGTGATATAGGAGCGCTACAACGAGAGTAATTTCTTTCTCAAATTGATTAGGCCAAAATTCACGCCATCTCCTCGGTCGTGGTCGCCACCATCATGGCCATCGGAATGATCATCGCCGCCGTTATCTTAGCAGGTGGCGACTATGGTCGAGACCTGAACCGGTGCACGAGCACGAGCGGAGGGGGAGCCTTGAAAGCTATGGACAAAAACGTGGTGAGTATGTAGGGTTTTACTGTAATTATGGTCAATGGTCTTTCTGTCATTCTCTTGGAAACTTTATTTTTTCTTCAACAAATCGCGAGCACGAAATAACCATCATAAAACCCAGATGCATCAAGCTAGAAGTGACATAAGGCCCGTTCACACCTACAGAAAAAAGTGAGATTTACAATTCGATTTTTGCATCGCGATCCAAAGATCGTCCTCTTGCGTGTGTGGACAGAATAATTTCACCAATCTCCGCGATTCGCATCACGATCCAATTCGCACTGAGTCTTGCGAATGAGATTTTGACAATGCATTTTGATCATCCCGCTGGTATCTTTAGACGAGGTATTCGTTTTTCTTTACAATGTAATATGATTAAAGGTCAAACGTAAGGTAACTTTTTAATTAGAAGCTACCAAAGTTGGGTAATTTTGTGTTGATACGCTCTATTGTGTGTTTATACGCATACATGTTTCTTCAAAGTCAACATTTTTCGATAGAATTAAAACTATATATTTATCCATTTTTACAATTCAGTCTATTTCAACCAGTATTGCCTTGTTTGCAATGGAAATGATTGTATAAAACAGGTCTTGCCAAGTTCCTTCAACCGTTTGAACAAATATTATTTATGGTAGAAACTATGCATTAATTACCTTGATTAAAGTTTAATTGAATACGATTGTACCGCTTTCAGGTCATGAACGTAATGATGCTTGATGGGAAGACAGAGATAGGTATGCAGAGAGCACGATACGACTACGATGCTAACACGATCTTGGTCGAAACTCCTACGAACATGACCGGCTTTAGAGAAGCAACCGTCGCCATCGACTTCACAAGGGTAAGGGGGTATAATATGGGGGGGGGGGGGTTATTTGGAAAGGGTAACGAGAGATGTTTTGATTAATTTTTTTTTTTTTTTTTTTTTTTTGGGGGGGATGTTTGGGTAAAATATGGTAGTAATATGTCATTAGATGCTTGAATAAAAGAAATGTGCCTAAAACTGTGGAGGAGAAGAAGGAGAAGGAGAAGGGGGAGGGTGAGGGGAAAGAGGAGGGAAACGAAGGGGAGGGTTGGGAGGAAGAAGAAGGAAGAGGGAGGAAGGGGGAGGGTGAGGAGAACGAGGAGGGAAACGAAGGGGAAGGTTGGGAGGAAGAAGAAGGAAGAGGGAGGAAGGGTGGAGGGGGAACATGGTAGGGAAAAGGAGGAAGGAGAGTGTTGGATGAGAAGGAGGAGGAGGAGGAGGAGGAGTAAGACGGGGAGGAGACGATGAGAGGGCAAAGTGAGGAAAGGGTGAACTAGGTGGGAGGAAAGGATGGAGGAGAAGGAACAAGAGGAGGGGATGAAAAAGAGGGTTAGAGGAAGAGAAGGAGGAGAAGGAGGAGGAGGAGGAGGAGGAGGAGGAGGAGGAGGAGGAGTGGTTGAAGGAGAGGAGAAAGAGGTGAGGTGAAGGGGGAGGGAACCCTTATGTATTAGAAATATTGCAGTATTTTGTTGGGTTATTGGTCTGTTTCGCAGAAGAAAAGAAAGCAACTGGCAAGGCATTGAAATTCTGTAAAAAAAAATACCACTGGGCTGGACATGGAAACTAATTCGTAATTGTTCGAGGAGTGTCATACATCGATAGGAAGCATTGATAGCTCTACTAGATAACGTTACGTAACAGGATGTTTTAAGATGATAGGTCGGGCTAAAGGTAGGTTTAACTAACACGATCATCGTTCAGACGGTCACTACTCCGACCTTTACACCTACCTCGCCATGTTTACCCCAACTAGCTCTTAACACGACCTTTACCCCAGGGTAACTTGCCCAGGGTAACAAGACTATTGAAAGCTTATCCGAAGATTTGTCGCTAGGTAAGAATTACTTTTGGCACTTGACTCGAGATCTTCGTTCAAATGACACTTTCACTCTCAAAGAGTGCTTAAGGGCAAATTATGTTATTTGAATATAATGAAATTGACCTGCTATTTCTGTGAACATTAGTATCCATATCCTAATGCTCTTCAAGTTGTATCAAATTACGAGAAGCTCCAAGAGACGTGGCGAAGGAATTGAAAATATTTTTGATTTATACAAAAGTCTCTTTCAATCCTGTAGGAGCTATGTATAGTGTAATTCATGGAAAGAGGTTTACTTAAAAAAAAAAAAAATCTTGTTTGTAATCTCACATAAATTGATGAAGGATGATAAAAGAAAAAGAAGAAGAAAAGGAAAAAATGAAATCCTTCATTTTCGGACTCCTTTCATCGGTTCTCGTGATAGTTTGCTAATAAACTTTCCAACTCACTGTAGATTGATTAAACATCATAGCCCCGATCATATCGAAAATGACACCGAAATGGCTGTAATTTTATTAATATTATTTATTAATTAGAGATGTCGCGGTCTTTATCTGGACAAAAAATACGACAGGAAAAACGATGTGATCTGCAGTGATTATTTTACAGTTTACAGCATGGATACGTACGTAGGAAATGGCAGTCGAGTCCATGCGATACGTCACAGAACGGGTCGTGTACAAACACAATGACGACGTTCTGAACATTTTTAGAGCCTTGAAAGACGGAGGATTCAGAAAAAGAGTTACCCCCTCCCTTTCGTGAAATGTTTGCCGTTTTGTATTTTGCAGATAACGTTTTAAATGGCCTACTAACTGAAACTAATATGTAGTTTGAGGTTAATTCCCCTTTAATATCCAATATCCAATATCACCATTATCATTAATTAAGTCTGATCGGTAATTCTTTTACAGTCCATACTTTTCACTGACGTACACGGCCAGTCTCTTTGTTTGGCATCAGCACTGCATGGAGACATGATGGACATGGCGGATATGTTTACAAACTTCATGAGGGACGGAAAGCAACAGGTACGACATATTTTCATCTCTGTCAGTAGTGGATCTGAAGGGGGGGTGGTGTTCTCCCGTAAAAGTTAAGATAACCCATATATTTTTTTTTCTCGACACACTCCTATAAGAATGATTATGCATTATGAGTTTTTTTAATTTTAAATCGCAAATTAAAAAGAAAAAAATCGACTGTCTCAAATGTTAAAATCGCAATATTAATACAGTGCATTTATTTTCTTCTATTTTCTACTATCCATATAAGGCCATCGACATAGCAGCGGCGCGTATTAAGGAAATGAACTACGCCATTCAAGGGAAAATCTCCGCCGGTTACGTCACCAACTCTAACGGACCAATCATAAGCGCTCTGTGCACCGGAGATGCCTCCTATTGGACAGAACAGACTTCCGTGATGGGAGGTGGGCGGAGAAAGCGTGCCGTGACATTTGCAGGGACAATACGAATTTGCATATTCGGATTCTGTTTCGACATTGCGTTCGATTCAACAGATGATAATTAACGACTCAAATTGTTGAAAATAGAGTTTGATAAAGCAATAAAAAGGTCATCTTCGGTTTTGGTACGGAAACAGCGGTTTGATGGAAGATATCTGTACGCGACTTTGAATCGCTCATTACATCTGATTGTGCATATCATGTGTTGCTCAAAGGAAAACCTTCTGTTGATGCCTATTTTGTGGCTATTTCACATGTGGCAAACCAGCGACCTAAGACATCCTTGTCCTTCCAAAAAAAAAAAAAAAAAAAAAAAAAAATACAGAAAAAAGGAACAAACGAAAACATAAAATAAATTCACAAATTATTTTCTATTGAATAATTTCTTTGAAATTGTATTTCAGGTCTGTTAAAAGTAAACAACAAATACATAATCATTTTCAATCCACTTAAGATTAGAAGATCCAATAACACTTAACAGGTAAGGGTGGAAACTTTTGAGCCCCGGTTGACAGGGAAAGATTTGAAAGGGGAGCGATACTAGGGGAAGAGAGAGAGAGAGAAAAAAGGGAGAGAGAGAAAAAAAAAGGAGAGAGAGAGAGTCAGAGTGAGAGAGAGCGAGAAAGAAAAAAGGAGAGAGAGAGAGAGAGAGAAATTGAGGGAGAGAGAGAGAGTCAGAGTGAGAGAGAGAGAGTCAGAGAGAGAGAGAGGGGGAGGGACAGAGTCAGAGAGAGAAAGGGAGGGAGAGAGTCAGAGACAGAGGGAGAGAGAGCAAGAGAGAGGAAGGGAGAGAGAGAAAGAGAAAGAATATTGATGCAAGCTGACAGAAACACAGATATATGTAAAGCCGTGAAGAAAAATAAAACACCAAGTTAAAATTCAAACAGTATCCAACACAATTATCATGATTATAATAAATTGGTATTATAGTATTGTATATAAAATATTTATTTTGTAGGTTGTGTAAACAATACGTTTTTCAGAAGTTTGTAACACGCATAGTCAATCTTTGGTCAATCTTAAATGTTCGTCGAGATGTTGTGTGGGAGTGCGTGTGTGTTTGTAAGTGTGTGTGCGTGTGTACGTGGCACGAAAATGTTGTCATAGTCTACTATGTAACACCCGTTTATTCTATATCCTCTTTACTTATTTTCATAGTAATATACGTATTTGTGGAATAAATAGCAAATATATTTTGTCACAGGCCATCGTCACAGATAAATCCCCAAAGTAAATTTTGGTTTATAATTTGTATTTGAATACGATTAGAAAAGAATTAATTCGAAAAGTTATAATAATAATAAACATACATTTCTAAATATACTATTGTTAACATCTGTACACAAAACAAAACAAAGAAATAATTAGGCAAACAAAAAGTAGCGTTGAAAGAGGATGTCCAACTAGATAAAGCTATGATATTACCTATAAGAAAGAAGGAAACAAATTCTACAAATATTTGCCACTTCAGTTTTTACAATCTCGGCATCGTATTTACGAATAGCAATCGTATCAAACTTATGGTACTACATATTAGAAGTACAAACTACATGTATACATGTCTATGTGAGGCATTATTTTAATAACTAAAATAATACTGAATGATCTTTTTTGGATTAAAGCGGTTCGAGCCATTGAGGGGGCACTTGCATTATGAGGGGGAGGGGGGGGGGGGATACCGATCTTACATGTGGATGCAATACAAAATTACCTATGATTGCTGTAAGTAATTGCAAAATCTTGCTTCAATTCTTGTATCAATGCAATTAGAAGACGCACTGTGTTGATGTTTACTTTATTAAAATTAAATAAGAGCCCGGACAATATTTAGCCCTAAAACATGTTCTGAAAGGAATTTGATAAACCATTAGAAAATGTTGTAGCGTTTACATTATAATTGACTTCGTGATCATTGATCTCGGTACAACTGGACGGTGACGGTGATGGTGTCGATGACAAAGTGAGGTTCGACGAATGGCAAAGTCGCATTCAGAAGTCAATTACTGGAGGAGTGTGGGGTATTCTTAGGTAGCCCCCGCTCAAGGTAGACACGCTTTAATATGTACTGACTTATTCTCCAGAGGGGGCGTCCGCCTGCATAATCCTCTGTTGGATACGCCAAAGATTGGGGTGCCCCCCTTTTTTTTTACTCCCCATCCATGGGGACGGCTCCTTCCAACCACTGTGAAACTGTCTTTGCGTAATTCTCTATCCATGCAATATTTGTTTGTATCTTTTTTATCGCCTTCGCGTATTTACTCTTCGCTGATCCAAAGTCCTTGTCTTCGCCGAATGCAAGAAGCTAAAAGAAAAAGAGAAAAAGATAATTAGTTGTATTCTTAGTTTTCCTTCGGTTCTGATGTTATTTTCGTTTCAATAGTCAAAACTTTCTTATTAGTGTTCCGATTTCCCTCAAACTCTTTCTGGCCTTCATCTTCCATTGAAAACAAGTTATTCTAGGACTGCACCTCTTCTTTATGTAAGATCAAATTTTACCCATACCTCTTATAACCAAGTTGCTAATATGTTTGATGTTTTTTTAAATACTTTTCCATACTTGTTCATGCATTTTATGGAAAAAGTACACCTTTCACTAAAACTTTGTCTAATTTTCTGGTCCAAGTTAACCTTGGGTATATTAGAATATTATACATACATCTTGAAGTTCAAGCGGTGTGTTGAAGTTTGCCGTAACATCGGAAATCATGTTCTGTAGACCCGTGTTCTTAGAAAGTTCGTCGCCGCCGTAACTGTATTTGTAGTTAAAATGAGAAGAAGAAGGAATAGAAGAAAAACCGCGATAGCCAAGAATTTCGAGAATTGAAATTAAATACGATTGCAATAATGTTTTTCCCATATAATTCTGCTTGGAATGAACACTATAGCAACGCTTCCAAGAAATCAACCTAAAGGCACTTTTTTCTTCAAATATCTCATTCTTCATTTCATAGAAGTCACGCTTTTTTTTCTTTTTTTGGTATTTTGGTATTTTGGTATTGTATTGTTTTTTTAAAAAAATAATTAGTTTATTTATTAATTTATTAATTATTTTATTTATTAATTTATTAATTAATTTATTATTATTATTATCATTATTATTTTATTTTTGTTTGGTGGGGGGGGGGGGGGGCAACAATGTTCCCCTTACACGTCGTAAGACCGATTCCCTCCCAGTCTGCAGTCCCTTCCTAGTAAGCAAAATAAAATGCAGAAAAAACAACAAAACAAAAAACAAAGAAAAGTGATCATACTATTCCTTCAGGTTGTCCCACTCATTCCGTACAAAATTCCAAGCGAGTGCCCGACCTACGGCGTTCTGAGACACGTACTTGATGATGACAGACGAATCTCGCTTTGCTAGGTGTGTTGTATTGAGAGAGTAATACAGAAATCTGTAGAAATACCAGACACAACGTGAAACTCAAATTGGCAATGGTTCGACTGGTTATTAAATGCATAGATGATAATGTTAATATTTGTGCTTATATATCGCTAAATACGTCGGGAATGTCAACTAGGCGATGTGGCGTGCGCCTGTAATCCAGCTAAAAGTGGAAGTTACAAACTGATTCAGCAGAGGACGCAGGTTCGAAACTGAGTCACGTCTTTCGGATGGTGACGTTTAAAGGTCGGTCCCCAGACGTAAAGAATCATATCTGATTGATACACGTCTGCAAAAATCGAATAAAGCACACAATGTATGCACGTTCTCCACTCCCTGGGGAACATTCAAACAAGAGCTACTAGGCTCCAATTGCTAAGCATACCACATTGGCTTTCGCATCCATGTACATGCTTATCGTGGCTTGTTTAGTCTAACAACTTTGATCCCTTTCTTGTCATAGTAGTACACAATCCTGTATGTGTTGAGGTTTGGGTCATATAATTATATAGAAAGGGACAAGAACGGCTTTGAAGAATTTATGACAGAATGATTGTGGATGTCAACCGCTTGAAGAAAAAAATACACGATCGATATTATTCTTCAAAGAACTAAGAACTATCAATAATGTAAGAATCGAAAGAGATTATTTTATCTTTACTCTTAAAATGTATAAAGTACACAAATGATGGCATTTACGGAATCAAATATTTTGTCTCATATTATATTAATAGTTTTCTCTTTCACTTTTAGTTTGCCTTTTCTCATTCTTTTTCTCTCACTCCATCCCTGTCTCTTTCCTTTCTTCGAAATTCACTTATACTCATCTCTCTTCCTTCATTCTTCTTATATTATAATGTTTAAATTTTACCCATTTCATATTTTTAGCTTGTAATATTACACTGTTTGCACGTTTTCTCACAACAATACTTGTATGTTGTTTTCTTTCCCGATTGTTAGCATAACCGGGTCTCTTTGTATTTGTATTGTATTTGAATGGGTTACTTTGTATAAATTTAGGACCGGTATGTATGATTCTTGTTATTCTGATTAACTGAATTTTAAGGAAATATTTGTAATAATGATAACAAAATAATAACCTGTTGAGTATCCAGGGTCTTTTGGAGCAGGAAAGTGCTTTGAGCCAAATCGAATGCTTGGTTTTATCCTCGGTAAACTTCTTCCAGCCGAAGTTCCACTCTTTCTGCCCTCCTTCTTGGATTCCATAGCAATAAACCGTCTTCTTAAGGTTAGGAGTTATGCTGCAGACAGGCATGAGTGACAGAGGTTTTAAATGGCAATGGAATAATGTTTTCTCCTTAAAATTGGCAACATTATAACTAATACATACATAAAGATACATTTATCTTGGATTCCATAGCATATACCGTCTTCTCTAATTGGGGATTTATGATTTGGACAGGCATGATTGACAGAGGTTTTAAATGGCAATGGAATAATGTTTTCTCCTTAAAATCGGCAACATTAATATCTAATCTTGGATTCCACAGCAATACACCGTATTTTTAAGATTAGGAGTTATGCTTTGGGTAAGCATGGGTGACAGATGTGTTTGTTTGGACAAAGGAAATACAATATTCTTTTTCAAACCTGTAACCTTGATATTTCATATATAAATACCATGGACGCCTTAGCATTATACCGATTTCTTCAAGCTAGTGTACGTAATGCTATTGGTAGGAAGAAGAAAGCATGTACAATGTCCACATCAACATAGTGCTAAAGCAAGAAGCACCCCTTAGCTAATGATAATCAATTAGAGTAACCATCTTACTTCTTATTTTCGAGTAGAACATTTAGAAATAAAGACTGACCATCTAAAAAGAGCAAGTTGAGAACAGTCCTAAAGTGGGGATGGAAGGGGCCACTTTCAACAAGCCTTTCTGTGCATTAAACGATCCTGCCAGTATCAATCATTATGACGATTTGTCAAGGATATGTTTTCATTGTGTCTTTAAAGTGGAAACTATTGATTTGCTTTTCAGCGAAAATCAATGATTGTACTTACGGATTGATATCATAATCTGCTCTATCCTCGGTGTTATTAACATCATTCTCCATATACTGGCGGTAGAGGGCGGACGCTTTGTCAAGACAATCTTGGTTGCTATATTTACATGATGTTTCAATGTTGTTGATCCTATTTAATCTGTTTTAATGAATCAAATATTGAGTAGTACATTAGACTAACAATCTACAAGAGGGGGCTGATGAGCGTCAATAGACGGGCGATGGGGGCAATGCAAAATTCATAACGCTTTTTGCTGAATTAAAAAGAGTTAAATTAAAAAAAAAAAGCATTAAAGCTGTTTAAATTAATTGATAATCTGGCAACCAGTTCCACTGTCGGCAAATTAAAATTATGACTGAGAATCTTCTCCCCCCTTTTTTTGTTGTTGGGGGGGGGGGGGGGGCTGATTGGAATTTCTAGGCCATGTTGTCGGCACATTTGATCCGATCTCTTAAATGAGAATTTATACAGCGACACCCCTGCTTCATGAAGGCAATATACAAAAGGCAGAATATGTAGGCAGGTTTAGCGGTATTCTGTCAGCGGTCCATTCAGTTATTTGCCTACAAAACTGACTTCGACAGACCCCGGTTCGTTTTTTTTTTGGGGGGGGGGGAGGGGGATGGTGACGTTAAACGGTTAACAAAGTTTAATTTCAAAAGAATGTACATGTCTGTAAAACTATGTTTTGTACCCTAGTGTGAATATAGTCAGGCGGGAGGAAGACGATGGAAGGGGGAGGGGCGCATAGGGGCGCAGAGGGGCGCAGAGGGGCACGTGTTTATGTGTGGTTTTTTGCCCGTTGGACACTCACTGTTCAAGATGCGGGTCTGTTTCCGGGTCGTCGTCCCATCCGACTGCATTGTACAATGTCTGGACCTGTTGTTGCATATAGCTCTAGCAATAAACAGGAGGAAAGAACAAATGAAATAATATCATATCGAAACAAATAGATTGAAATAGAATCAATCTTTTAGGATTGTTTTCATTATACAAGTACATACAAAACCAAAGAAAAACAAAAACATGATAAATCTTTAATTGGCCAGGGAAGCGAAAATATGTAGTTTCAGAGCATCAACCGATTTTACAACTTAAGCCCCGTTGGTTCCTTCCCCGACACAGCATTAATGTATTTTGGTAACGAATTAATCTACATTTACCACTCCATGTCCAGAAGAGAAATGGCGACCTGGTAGGATGACGAAAGCCTTTGTGATAGCAATTGCAATATGCCATCAAGGTGACCACATGGTAGGAATACTCCCCGGGAGAGTCGGAGATGGTGCACAGTGTGCGTGGATGAATCCGATGCCCGGGGTAAAGATTATTACGTGTAAAGCACTTAAAGACAGTATTAAGCGCTATTTAAATCCAGATTCATTATTATTATTATTTTCATTTGTATTGCTTTTATTATCACTATTCTTATTATTATCATTATTATTACCAGATTTATTATCATCAATATTGTTATCATTTAGATTTGTTTGTATTATCACTGGTATGATTATTATTAGCATTATTATTAATATCATCATTGTTATCATTATTATCATCATCATTACCATTATATTGATGCTTACCTCTAAATGCCCGTAACCAGAATACGTCCCGAACATATCTCTGATGTGGGACAAAAACCCAAGGACCGCCTTCCATGGTACATAGTCCAGTTCATTCACCATGTAGAGGGTCAGATCAAAGGCTAGGGGGTAATCAAGTCGCCCAACATTAGCCAGAGTGAATGCATCGTTGATGAGCTGAGCGCGAGACTCTACTGGCAACACCTAGGACAAAATTGTAACTATCATTATGCGTATCCGGACACCTACCCCCTGGACATGCACCCCCGGATAACCACCCCAAGTCAACTACCCCCTAGGACAATTACCTTCTAGGGAAACCACCCTTTAGGACGGCTACCTACGAGTACAACTACGCATGGACAACTACCACCAGGACAACTACCCCCGGACAACTACCCCCAGACAAACAACCCATTGATAGTTGTCCGGGGGTAGTTGTCCTAGAGGGTGGTTGTCATAGGGGGTATTTGTCTGGGGTGTAGTTGTCTAGGGGGTAGTTGTCCGGGGGGAAAGTTGTCCTAGGGGGTAGTTGTCGGAGGGGTAGTTGTCCGGGGTAGTTGTCCTAGAGGGTAGTTGTCCTGGGGATAGTTGACTGGGGCGTGAATGTCCAAGGGGTAGGTGTCCTAGAACCATCATTATGGGGTCGGCATCCGCGGATGAGACACTTAACGCGAGCGCCATTCACAAATACTACACTTTGTCGTGCTTGGGACATGGCGGAATTCATCGACAACTAAATCCTGGAAAACAGGATCTTAACATTTACATTACCATTATTAAACCGCAAAGTCATCAACGTAAAGAAAATTATCAAGTATATCAGCATCATCAACGTCAAAATTATTAAAAAATTATATCTTTACTATCAACAATACAGTATGATAATTAATATTGGTACATGTATTAACATTATTATCAGCAGTATTGACATCATAATCAACATAAAATTTCTCAACAAAAATCTAGATCATCAACATCACCGCTATTAAGATTATCATTAACACCATTAGGAGTAATGTCATCAATTATATCATCATTATCATGATTAACAGCAACATTAACAGCAACATATTTATCATGTACTAAAGCAACACCATCATCAACATCATCACTATCACCATCACCATCGATAACAGCCTCATCATCAATAGCAACATCACCATCAACGTCATCCTCCTCATTGTCATCATCATCACATCATCAAGATCATTTACAACATCAAGTTCATCAGCAGTATCATTACCATTAACACATGAACCTCATCAACATTTTGACATCATCAACACCATCATCAACATTAGTATCAATAGCAATACCAACATTAACATTATCTTTCACCATCAGTAATAAGTTGCAACAGCTACAACGAAATCATCAGTATAAACAACAAACAGAAATACCGTTACAACTATACGTAAATATGTCTCACCGTGTGGTCATCGATCAACTGTTTACCAAGTCGAGCCCAGTTTTCGTCATCGTAGTCAACGCGGAAGAACCCGGACTGCTTAACGTTTGCCAGGTACCAATCCTCGTTCCCCATGGAGGGTGACAACTCGACCAGAGCTGAGAAAAAAAATTAGATATTCGGTCAATAGATCAATAACATACTGAGAACTTTTAAACTTTATCTATCACGAAAAGAGGCGAGAAAACATTATCCATCTTTATGGGCAACCGTTTACGTAAAAATTCTTACCCCACGGTTCTTTTTGGATCCATGTAGAAAGTGGCATTTCGAAATTGGCACCTGTCTTCTGTGTATAGGTTAGGTAGATATACCAGAGGTATCTAAAGCAAAAGATAAAATATATAAATATTTATACATTTAACATTATAATTACATATAGGCCTAGGCCTACATGTATATAAGTAATAATCAACTCCATGTTTGTCGTTCAATAGAAAAAATATATACCTTTCTTTAGTATGTTGAATAAATCTAGTCATCTGATTGGTCGAAATTGGAGTCGTGATTTTAGCCATCCCCTCCTACCGGTCAATAATTTTTTAAAAGATGCCCGCATTCCCGCCTACCGGTCAATAGTTTTTTTTAAGATGCCCGTTGCCCCGGGTAACGGGCCGCATAAATACTTTTTGCTGAGATCCCCATTGGTTTACGTGCACAAAGTTTCTTTGTGCGAGCGCGGATTTTTGTATGCAATTCCCAAATGATCGTAACATTCAGGCAACTTTCCAGCGAAGATTTACAGACAGTGTCTCAGATTTTCTGTAATGTTTTAACAAGTCTTTACTCAACTAGCGGTGCACCGAGGGGTCATATCAGGATGTAACGTCCCCTTGAGCTATTATAGAAACAGCGGTGCCTCTCATAACAGTCAATATATCTATAATATAACATTTTAAATGCCTTTTGTTTATTTCACTCGTCGGGAAACCTTCCATGATTTCGTCGGAAAAAAATTGTGAAATATAGCTTTCTGGCATGAATCACTGTTCACATACCCCAGATCACCGTATTTGTCATCGGCTTCGGCGTCGTGATCGACCAGGAAGCGTTCCTGTGAAGCATTTACTTGGTGGTCGTTGATGCGCCGCATATCGACCACGGGGAAACCCATCTGGAGCGTCCACGTGTCCATGATCTTCTTGACGTCGTTGTCACCGATGCCCTTATCGACCTGAGTTGGGAAATCAAACCACGGTATTTGCGGGAATATTATTTATCATCATGTTTGTATTAAATTCCAGAAGAGACATGCGATAGTACATTAATTGTTGCCACTTCTGTTTATTGTAAATTTGATTTTCTTTCTTTTCCACTCAATTTCCTTTGCTAAACTATAAATATTTTTTTTGTTAATTTTTTTTTAAATTTAGAGAATCAATACCTCGGTGAAAGCAGCCCACAGGTTATCAGTGACTACGACGTCCATTTTGTGTCTATTCAGGTAATGGCGAATACCGCTCATGAATACTTCTTCGCCGAGCATGTTCCTCAACATCCGGGTAATTTGAGCTCCCTAGAACAAAAATTCAACAAAGAACAAAGATTCAAGCAAACCGTTGAATGTTGTGAGATATAGTTGAGATACGCCATGCACGCCCATATGTTGAATGCGGTCATTAGTTACATCATGTTCAAGAACGCCCAACGCTTTTTCAATACCACGTGGCCCCAACTCAGCAGAATATATACGTATGATCATTCTTCACATCACTAGGGACTTTTAAATTTGCACGTCGACATAGTGGACTGCTACGTGTGACGTCCTTTTAATGCACTGTGAGTTCCTTTTAAGGCACTGCCAGTGCCTTAAAAGGACGTCACACGTAGCGGTCCACTATGTCGACGTGCAAATCTAATAGTTCCTATCGACCTAGATCTAAAACTAGCCGTGGCTGTCCCACCCGCCCCCTGAAAAGTTCCTCCCACGTACAATCTCCATTGAAAGGAACCTTTTTGAAGCTCCATGAAATGACAACTTCTAGTGACGAACTAGCTATGACATTTAAGAGCGAGTGCCATGAGCTCCCAGCCGAGGTAGATATTGGGGCCATATAAGAAGCCAACATCATCATCATCATCATCATCTCCACCAACTTTATCATCATAATCATTGTCATCATAAAGGTTCGCTCACAAATATCACGTAGGCCTAAGATATTACAGTTCATAAGATGATGACGTGGATCCTAATCAAATGATTGGTTGAGAGCGTACACATGACCAGGCATTTATTTCGCCTAATGCGTAATTCGGATAATGACCGGTCATTATCCAAATCATGTTATAAAACAAATAAAACATAATCTTATAAAACAAATAATACACATCATTTTGTTCGGGCATTAGTAAAATTACCCTCACTCGGTACCTTTGGAACAGTCTAACACGCATGAGGCGGTAATGCTCTCACTGCTGTGTATTATTTGTATAGTATTGATAAATACAATGCAAAATTAATGTGTTATTCATACAGTGGATCATCAGAGGCTCCTGTACCATTTTTAATCTTACATTATCCGCGCACTATCTTGTATCCTATCACTTCACTCGGGTTGCGAGCCGCAAACGTAGAGGAATGTCTAACCAAAGGACGTTATAGAACCGCAAACATCCCGACTCTCAGTTAAACGAAAGAAACAATACACCCAACACCACCCATGAATATGATAAAAGAGAGTATACAAGTAATACAGAATATCCTACTGCTAACGTGAAATTAAGCTAAAATATTCCCAACAGTAATTTGTTTTGTTTGATTATTTTATTTCTGCGTTCAAAAATATACAAATTCAAATTCAAAGTACAAAACTTCGAACAATAACAAATACAATGAATAAAATGTTTACAAAAGTAATTAAATAAAAAATCATATACAATTATATCATACAATAAACATGTACGAAGCATACAATAAGATAAGAAATATGAAATATTTTCAATAAATTAGAGAGGTAATTTAGAACGCAGGAGACCACCATCGTGAGCGGTTAGGCTAGAGATGGATGGCGGCCTCATAAAAAAAAAGAATTGGCGACATAACTCTCTCCGGAAAACTGAGTGATCAAGTGGGTGCAGAGCAAGTGCAGGTGCATTAAGCAGTTGCACGATAAAGAACAAAATAAGTCACGGTTTTGTTATACTAATTTAAAGAGAGGGGAGCATATGATTGTATTATTTGTCGTTTAAGTGTAGCTTTTAAGGAGTAGATGGTTGAACAAGACTTTATGTTGTCGGGAAAATTATTCCAAATATCCGGGCCAGAATGTCTAACAGATATGTGTGTTATTGATAATTTGGGGTTTTTAAGATGGAAGTTTCCAGATATACGAGTAGAGTATGAATGAACAGAACTATTAAACCAAAACATGTTATCAAAGGATAGTGGAAACAGATTATTAATGTACTTAAACATATTAACTGCTACTTGAGTAGTATTCAGATCGATTTTTTTTAGTGTTTTAAGTTTATAGAAAAAAGGATAAGTGTGAGCTAAGAAATGCGAACCTGTACAAATACGTATGGCTTTCTTTTGTAGTTTGAAAATAGAATTAATTTTTGTCGAACCACAATTTGCCCATACACTATTACAATATGTTATATATGGGAGAACTAGCGAATTATATAGTAGGAATAAGGTTGCATAGGGTAGAAGAAACTTTAGCTTGGAGATTATTCCAATCCTTTTGGAAATGCACATTGTAACATGGTGTAAATGATCATTCCAAGTCAAGGTTTCATCTATAAGAACTCCCCAAAACTTGGACTTAGTTTACTTCTCTAGTAGCATACCATCGATTTTAATATATATCGGTGTTTCTGTATTATGAGAATGATGTTTAAAATACATGAAATGAGTCTTTTTTGTATTAAGAGAAAGTTTATTGGATTTAAACCAATCTGAAACTTAAACCAATCTGAAACTTAATACAAGTCATCAACTTTTTTTTCAGCTGCCGACATTTTTTGCACCATAACGAATAGAATATCAATAGTTCTTTACCTTGTAGTAAGATATGTCTTCAAAGAGTTCACTGATTTCATCCGGGGTGTCGACAGGTGGCGGCCGGACCGGACGTGACGTCACACGGGCATCAGTCTTGAAGACCGTCTCATACACGATGGGAAACTGTTCATGCTATATATGCGTGTATTAAAGAAGAACAAAAAGGGGGAAAAGAGTACAATTGAAAACAATTTACTCTCAGGAAACAGCATTTGAGATGTATGACACAATCGAAATGAATTCGAATAACAATTCAGGGGCGGATCTAGGATTATGTCGAAAAAGATGGGGTGTTTGTACGGCTAATTTGGTACATTATTTTTGGCAGAAGGGGAAGGGAGGGGATGAAGTAAGGACATTTGGAAGACAGGGAGGGAGATTGGAGGAGGAAGAGGAGCGAAGGGGTTACTCACTATTCTCCAGGTCGGCTTAGCGGAGTCGATGCCGAGGTCTGCTAGGTAGGTGGTGATTCCCTCGTTGAGCCAGATATCGTTCCACCAAGCACAAGTGACCAGGTTACCAGTCCACTGTATGGCGAAAGAAAAGTGGTTGTAAACTATGGGTGGTATTCTCGAAAGCGGACTAACTTTATTCCATGGTTTAATCCACCGACTAAGTATGGAATGCCAAGTGTCCATATGAATATATTTTTTGAATAATTTGATATGTCCCTAAATTACCATGATAAAATAATTATATCATAGTTTTATTGTTGTTTATTAATTGTGATATAACATTTTTATTACATTTAATGACAGATTACATTATTCGAAAACATATTCATATTGACACTTGGAATTCCATACTCAGTCGGTGGATTAAATCATTGACTAAATTTAGTCCGCTTTCGAGAACACCATCCTATGATTCATTATCGTCGTCATCATCACTACCACCACTTACATCATCGTCGCCATAGACCTCCAATCCTACCAACACCACCCTCATCATCATCATCATCTTCATCATCACCATCATCATAATTATTAGCATCTTCACCACCAGCGCCATCGCCACCGTCGTTCTCTTCCTCCTCATCATAATCATCATCAACATTACGATGATGATGATTATCATAAATCTCGGAAACATTTTGCAAGTTCATGGCAGACGACTGGTGCAACCCAGTACTTGTCTCGAGCTGAATCAATCTTGCAGTCACCACCACCACCACCACCATCATCATCATCATCATCATCATCATCATCACCATACTCATCATCGTCATAACATCTAACACTACCATAATCATTACCACCATCACCATCTTCCTCCTCTTTCTCCCTATCATCACTATCATCAATCCTAGAAACATTTGAAGTACCTGGTGTGCGAGTTCATGAGCGACGACAGTGGTAACCCCTTGCTTGTCTTCAGCCGAGTCGATCTTATTGTCAAAGAGGAGATAACTCTCGACATAGATGATGAGGCCCCAGTTCTCCATGGCACCTCCAACAGACGTGGCGATCATGTCTGCGACACGACGAGAAAAAGAATAAAACTACCGCACGAACACTACACGATTGGACTACGATCCGATTTTGGGAGAATGTGCAATTATAGCATGTGATACGAACATTCAAACATGTAAAATCTTAACGATCGAAGATCTGAATATTACTCATATGATTTAGAAATTCAAAAGTTAAAGTGATTCCATGCTTCCTCAGAAGAGGAAAAAGTAAAAATCGGCTTAGAATCGTAGTGACGTCACACGTCAGACCTGTAGTGGGATTGTCTACGATTTGCAGCCGATTCTGGTTTTTTATGACTAGAAGAGTTTGACAAAAACGCACTTGTATAGGTTTGTAGCTAAATCAGGAATATGATGTTTGTTGAATTTCCGATTTGATACTATTGCCATTTCTTCGAAAAATCGGATCGCAGGACGATCGTGGGGTTAGTGCGCGGTGGGCTTAAGACAGAAATACATACAGGCGTCGCTGAATGAGGAGGGAGGGGGGGGGGGATCAAAACCTCCCATTCAAACCAGATACACATTCATAACTCACCTTGCTTTGGGAGATCAAAGGAAATATTGAAATATGACTCGAAGTATGTCGTCATATTGACTCCAATATCCAAACCATATCTTGTTGCTTCTATTTTCTCTGGTCGTGACCAAACCCGGTACTATAACATAAAGAAAACAATGACGTTATGATAATCTTTACTGTCTGATCAATAAGGCTTTTCTGGGGGAGAGAATACTGTTTAATATGACAACCTCCATATATAGATTGAGAGATTAATATTTGCTCGTAAAGGAAATGTATCAACTACGACATTATTGCTTCCCCGTGGCAATAATTCCACAGGCCCTATCTCAGCTTTCTAAGAGGTAGGAACAAAACACAAAATGCCCCGGGATTACAATTTTGGAAATCTAACCGCCACTCTCAAAGCCCGAAACGGGGGAGGCAGAGGCATTTTCCCCTGAAATACATGTATCATAATATCTAATCCTGAAACATATTTGCTGCTATTATTGTTGTCGTCGTCGTTGTCGTCGTCAAAGTCATTACTTGTCGTCATGTTGCGGTTAGCGTTGCTGCTGTTGTCTTATTCATTTTTTTCCCCAGATAGTCGAGGTGGGGTCGAAGGATCGTTTCCTCCCCCTGAATCGGCCTATGACCGTTTGACCGCTTTGTCAACTCACCCGAACTCCTCTATCCGAATACTGTTCCGTGTAGTTGAAATAACCGACGACGAAAGCGAGGAGATAGTTCGACATCACGGGTGTCGCCCTGTACGCGGTCTTGACCCACCCATCCTGAGTCTCGAACTCGGTTTCCTCGATTCCGTTGGTGAGGGCGGCCATGTCGGCGCGGTGCTCGATCTGGGTATGGAAGACGGCTTTCAGGTCCGGTTCGTCGAAACACGGCAGGGCTTTGCGCGCGTGCGTGGCCTCCATCTGACTCGCGGCATACCACCTGAGAGGAAAGGAGTAGGAGACAGAGATTGAAGTTCGAAGTTTACTTCGGAGTTATTTGTTCTATGATTACATCTAAATACTCTTATGATTGGTATAAAGTGATAAACTATTACCAAAACCCCCCTGATGAATTAATTGAGATCAATTACAGCGTACACAGACGTCGCAGTAAGTTTTGCAGAATATAGAACGACATGCAAAAGAGTATTCACACGGAGTTAAGTTACTTATTGACCGCCGAACTACACGTTACTATCTAAAATGTGATCTTAAAACAAAAAGTACTTTTAAAGTTATCTGGGTAGACTCACCTGGTTTCCCCTCTCTCTTCGTAGCTATTGCGGTAAAACCCAGTGTTACCCTCCAACAGCTCTCCGAGATAGTCAATCACCAGTTCGTAGCTCCTGCCTTCCTCCAGCACCATGTCAAGATGAAAATGGACGAAGTCATATCTGTCTTCGTAGGTTACGTCGGCGACCGCCACTGCATTTCCGACGTCGTCCACGAGTTCGTAGGATAGGATGGTGATGTTCTTACTGTGGAGTGTGATGACGTCGGTGGCCACGTCACAGGTCATGTTTATCTTGACCTGACCGTCGAAAGTGAAGAGACGAGTATCTGGCCCTACGTCCTGGAGTATTAAAAGGAAAGATGAAAACAGTTAAAAGTTGTTGACATATGTTTAAAAGGCGAGGCCATGAATACAGAGTACATCTTTTAAGCCCCCCTAAAACAAAATAAAAAATAAATACAATCTTCACTTCTGTTGTTCCTTTTTGCCCTATATTTGACCCAAATACTACCATAATTTTGTTTAGCTCACCTGAGCTAGAGGCTCACGATATTGTTTTTGTACCAGCGACAAGATTACCTCTGACATTTTTACCTGGCACCGTCAGAATGTATCTGTCAGCTATTGTTACAAGTTTATTCACCCCCCCCCCATATGGATAAATGAGAGGGAGGAGTTGCCAAAGCGTATGCCTAATCCAAGATACGTCACTAAGTCTAATTAATGCCCCTCTTTAAACAAAATCAGATGCCACCACTGACAACATTAAAACGTGTGACCATATGAGCAGCGGCATAGCGTTATAGGTCCATCCGTAACAAGGAAACTGGTATCATGTGGGGGGGGGGGGGGAGCTGTGAATGTATTAGGAGCATGAATGTAGGTAAGGGGAGAGCATGCGTGTGTGAGGGGGAGTGGGTTGTCTTTCTATATGTTCACTCTCACTTTCTTTCTGTGTCTTTCCTATTTTTTTTTAATGGGGGTTGCCCCTACGCCCCCTTTAGCTTCACCACCGCATACGGCGCTCATGTGATCAGGTTCACATCCATCACTCGTGATCCACTGCTAATGGGACCCCCAGCAATTTGTTGGTGTCGGAGTGAGAGGTCAACGGTTGCGGCCTAGTTTTAGTCATGTTCAGAATGTTGCGGTTTGGCAATTTATATAGGCCTAGTAGTGAATGCGTCACGTGACCGACATGAGGGCACGAACATGTATGTATCCTAGGGAGTGTTTCATGAAGAGTAAGATTAGCTTTCAGTTGAACTTGAATACGGCAGGCCATTCATGCCACTGTTTACTTTCACCATTTATTGGAAATGGTCTCTCAAGGGACTTACAAATCATGGCAACAAATCTACAAAATTTATAGTGTTTGATAATTCATTATTGAAGGATAAAATATTATCTAAGGATCATAATGGTGAGAGCAAACAGTGGCATGAATGGCCTGCCATATTTAAGTCCAATTTAAATGCGATGTTACTGTTAGTGAAACACTCCCCTGGTAAAAAAAATTGTCAGCTCTTATACGTTTAAGCTAGTCAGATAAAGCACGATATAAATGTACAGGCGTGAAATCCACCTTTTTGGGGAAGCATATAAGGGATCACTTTGTATGGAGTAGATTCCATCCTCAAAACAACAACAACAACAACAACATCAATAACAACAAAAACAACAATTACAACGACAATAACAACAAAAACAAGAACAACATCAACAACAATTTACAACAGTGAATTCAACACTAAAGGCAGTGATCTCTGCTATGACTCTACAAGACTGGATTTTCTCATCAAGACAGTTAGAATATGGTCTGTAAATTTGGGGAAGGAACTACACAGTTCTATTTGTTATCCAATGTACAATACCTTGTATAGATGTTTGAAAATGATCTTGAAGTACATTATTTTTTGAGATATTTTTGGACGTAACTTGATCAAATATTTGTGAGCCAACTCAATCCCGTTGAGCTCACAAGGGGCTTACAGTCCTTACCGCCCAAATCCAAAAGGATTTCTCTTCAACATTGTGCCATATTTTCTTTTAGACCTGGATTATTAATCGTGTCGCATTGCTCCACTCGATTTTTGTGATTACTTTATGATTGTGACATCAAATTACAAAGGAAAAGTGTAAAATGTAGATCGTGAGTATGTCCCTACCAAGCCCCTCCCCCTTGCAGGAACGAACATGTTGTGTTTGTAACACGGTCCCTCTAACCCGCAACCTATCGATGTCTTGGCATAATTTACCAGCGAGATATTTCTATATTTTTTATGGTACAATGCAAGAAGGAAAAGGCGTGTACTGGGTTTAACCACAATGACATGAAGCATTCTTTCACTTGGTTAATTTCAGACTGAAAACAGGGTAATTGCCTACCAGAAAATGAACTTCTCAATTTTAGAAATCTAGCGAGTGGCAAATGTAGAATGATGATGACTTGCCGATGGAATTACATCACCATCAAAGCTAAAACAAAACTCCCTTCGTCACCGTTCTAATTGTCTTGTCAAAATCCATAAAGATGTACTTATTACAGGCTCCCACTAAAACGGTATTCCGCGCCTTCTTATGCATTTTATAATCGTGAACGCGATGACCTGGCACTTATTCGATTGTAAAAAAAATATTGGGTTAGGGTTAGGGTTGCAATTGGGTTTTAAGTTAGGTTTAGGGTTAGGTATAGTAGTGGGTCCAGGGTCAAAGTTAGGATTAATTTCGGAAATGACGTTGGAGCGAGGAGCGTCATGTCGTACAACCCTATCTTATATGCATATCATTAATGACCTTCGAACTACATAATACAATGTTTTACCCGTATTTGAAAGTTTTGTAAAATGTGAATAATTGAAACATAGACTTTGAATTGAAATAGATAAATTAATTACTTTTGTATGCATGTAGGGTTTGACGCAGAGTCGGTAGGTTTTGAGAATAAGGTTGCGTACTTTGTACCTTTGCTGAAAAATGGGGACAAATAAATGGATGAAAACAGACTTTACTTTTAAATTAAGCGAAAGAAGTAAATATATATGCTTTATTTCTTTATACGGGTATGGTTTGAAGTAGCGTTGATAATTTTTGGGATGAGGGTGGCGCCATACAACATGAAATACGTACAACTACTTGAATGCTTTAAAGATTAGTTGAATGGGAAGAAAATGTTAATTTGAATTAAAGTGATGTAGATTTTCTTAACTCTTCATACAGGTACGGTTTGCCGTAGAGTTTTTGGTTTTTGGGATGAGATGCATGCACATACATACAAGTAAATGTGGGGGTGGGGAAAGGGGGAGGGGGTACTTAAGCAAACTTTACTTTGACATTAAGTGAAAGAGATATATAATTGTCTTTCTTTACTTCTTCAAGCAGGTAGGGCTTGAGGTAGATGTGGTAGATTCTGGGGATCAGGTTGCGCGGCAGACGACCGTTCCATTCCTCTTCGGGTGACGTCGTTGTCGGTTCCCCTACGACACCATTCGATGTCGGCGGCTTGCACGGCCGGTCAGGCAGGAAGTAAGCCATACATCCGACGACGATGAGCAGGATTACGACCACGATTGCCAGGACGATGAGGTGTAACGTCGAACAGAAGTAGCCCTTCGTCTTCTTCATTCCGGTCTCGTCATGGAGCTCGAACTGGCCACTTTTTGTCATGCTGATTCTCCTTATTTGGCAGCTTTGTTTAAAAGAAATAAACCTACCGTAATAAAACAAACATGGATATAGAAAGAAAGAGAGGCAGAGATAGAGAGAAAGCGAGATAGAGAGATAGAGAGTTAGAGATAACAGTGCGTCAAATGGATAAAGAAAGACAGAACGTTAGAAAAGAGATTAAGGGATTCATGGGAAGGAGAAGAGAAAGAGAGAGAGAGAGAGAGTTACAAAGAGTATGATTTTGCAATGCTCATGATTATTTACTTCACTTAGATATAACTAAAGCTGGTTACCTGAACACATGTACGATTATGGCATTTCATGGAATCATAAATTATTCTATCCAATCATCATCCTGCAACTTAAAGAAAAATAGAAAAAAAATAATTCAAAATTCGAACTTTCGTTTAAATTACATACATTGCTGGAATATCAATGATAATAATGCAATACATTATCGATACTTGTAAAATCCTATCGTCACATCACTGCCTACATGTATATTATTTTCGATTCATGACTATATCTTTGTTTTGATTTCTAATTGTTTGTTTATGTTTTCTGTCAACTCAAAAATTAGTTTAATGATTTTTTTATGAGTGTATATGTAATATATTATGTGTATCGCAATACCATGTAACACGACGAATTTCCATCGTTAAATGGACAATAGATATGAACCTTATGAACCTTATGGAATAGTACTCTATAGCTAGAAGAGAAGTTCAAACAAATTACAGATAAAGTGTAACAAACACGTGTTTTACTAGTTTACCTCTTCCCAGGCCTTCAACGTCACAGTCAGAGTCAACAGTTTTTCCACTCCCCTTTTCCGGAGAGGGTGAGTGGTTTAGTGAATAGGGACTTTTAAATTTGCACGACGAGAACGTGGACTGCGACGCGTGACATCCTTTTAAGGCAATTTGACGTCCGTTTTAGGCACTGCCAGTCACATTGCCTTAAAAACAGTCCGCGTTCTCGTCGTGCAAATCTAAAAGTCCCTTCTAATCACATGGACTATGAAACCCATGTTTTAGACGGGGTGTCGCATCCCTGTATGCGGGACACTTAATTAAGTCCTTTAGCAAGTCATTCATCTACATTTGCCACTCTCCATCCAGGTGACGATATTAGTGATAATGACAACGATGATGATTATGATGATTTAGAACGTTCTAGAGTTGTATCAGACTTCTGTCTATTGTTCACAAACAACCTCCTCTCATTTTACCTCTGTTTATTAAACTAGGCCAGATATCGGGGAAAATATCCCCTTTAAAAGAAGGGAATTCGTTGATCAGAAACAGATTGAATACTCATTGGTTGACTTTGTGACATTTGACACGGCGAAGTTCAACGCAAAGGTCAAACGCCGGGGGAAGATCAGCAAAAACGATCCCCTTTTTATTTACCTCCACGAATCCAAGAAAACATCGTTAAAGGAGTATTGACCGGAGATGGATACGTATATAAACCCTTCTTAACACACTTTAAAAATCATCACAACATATCATACTTTATATTGAGATCCACCTAAACGGTTGAAGTAACCCAATACCATGTTATAGGTTCTGTTCCGTTGATATGCGGTCAAGCATAGGCGCGGCTTCAGACGAATATACATATAGTTACATTTTTTAAAATCATACTTCTTACGCTATTCCCCTACACGTGCCTTGCTTAAAAGCATTTGTACTCAAGAATTGTTCGTACTGAAGGGCTTGATTTGCTTTTTATACAACTTTCATACATAATAATAATAATAATAATAAGATATTTCTATACCGCAAATTGCGTAATACCTCTAAGCACGTCATATGATTTTCATTATCACTCGTAAAATTAGAGCACTTCTGATTTACACATGTTTTTTGATTTTTAATCTTTTTTGGCATGCAGAGAGAAATCAGCAAGTTGAATTTTTTTAATAAAAACTTGTTCTCTTTTTTCAATTTTCCTTCCTTTTCTCCTATACTTTCTGTTTTTATTTTGTGTATGAATACTACATTGTATCATTTTTGTTGATCTGTATAATTAGGAACTACATCAATAGCAGCTGTTTATAAAGTGACGCAATGCTCTACCTTTTTGAGGGGGATCGAGGCAGCAGTCCCACCCCCATCACCAGTACGATGCTTTCCTCATTGAACGGAACAGGGTTTAAAGTTATTTTATGTTTTGCCGCGTATACAACTCCCGTGTACAAAACTCCCGGCTAATTGTTACACAATATATTTCACTTAAAAGGGCCAGTAGAAATGTGTCTATAAATATCAAACGGAAACAGGATAACACCCGAGTTCCTTCCGAGTTGTTCTGATTTGTGGTTATTCCCAAAACTGTAATTACGTTAAAGGGAATGCATCCCTTTTGCAAAGTTTAAAACAAAAATGAAACTCAATAACATGAAATGTGACCTGCATCAGCTTTATGCCATAATAATAAGAAAAGGTAATGTGGTATAATAATGGAGGAGGGTTTTGACTCTCGCACGAAAGGACCCACGTTTGATCCTTTCTCGGTGCTTACATCCCCAATGAGGTATTTAACTCGCATTTGTCTCTCTGGTATTTTTAATTTCAATTTCAATTTATTCATGTTTCCAACAAAACATTACAAATTAATTATAAGCATTTAAAACAAATGTAAGAAATACTTGTTGGAAGCAGAGGGGTCCACTAAAAAGCAGTGCTTGTACAAGTGTGAACACTAATAAAAGCTAAAAAGATCAACAGGAATAGCAGTATTAATACTTTTGTGGCTACCCTGGGTAAATACAAAAAAAAATCATATACATAAACTAAATCCTTCTGATAGGTTCCGTTGTATATTGCGTGGAGAAAAAAACCCCGACAACCGTTGATGCTGATTATGGGATGCGATGGTAACTTATTCTAGTTTTAGATCACGGATTCTTGAACAGAACCAATCTGACCGATCGTTTTCGTGAATAAATAAGCTCCACCAACTATTCCAAACAGTATAGTAGACCAGCGAAGAGGTGTATTTTTCACTTTGGAGGCATTTGGGGGTATTGCATGGCATCCATGCTACAACTCTTGCAAATATATGAGATGGGGGTGGATGTCACGCGCATTCATCTTTTGGCTCAAAATTTGAAAGAAAGTTAAACACAAATAATGATTTTATTTTTTTTGATCAGACATGTATCACCTGATGAAAAAAACCTTTCAATTTATATAATGATTTTAAAGTAATAACCCATTTAATATTCATTTAAATGTTAGCTATTACGCACCTACGTATGACACAATGTGATTTACTCACAATATGGGAATATAAAAACTAACTCTTTGTTTTAAGGTTTTCTATACACCATACATCTTTACTTGATCAAAGATATAATATATATCCACTTCATTTATATTAATTTCACCCTGATCAGCAGTAAAAGTGTGAAATAGGTTGGAATCATCGCCGAACAGCCAAAAATTGAAATAATCATTAACAGCTGGCAAATCTTTTATATAAATCAAAAACAAAGTTGGCCCTAAAACTGATCCTTGTGGAACACCTAATTTTATCTTCTTCCTCCCAGATAACGTTAGACCACACTAAACGGTTAAATCGGTTATTAAGATAGTCCTCTAACCATTCAAGAAGTATCCCTCAAATGCCATAACTAGATAGTTTACCTAGTAATATATTATGATTAATTGTTTCAAGTGCTTTTTAAAAATCCATGCACATACCAAACATAGTAATTAATACATTATCAGAAATGATATTCAACATTGTCTGTTTACGTGGGCCAAACTATTGCTGCAGTACCAGGGTTTTCATTTGTGTATGATTGTCTGACGATTCATTTGCGAACCAACGAAGGAAGGGAGAAACAATTCAATGTCTACTTTATAGCAAAATTGTTAATTTTCATTTGCTCACTTACAGAATTTAAAAAAAAAATGGAAGGATAATTTTGAGCTACAGATAATACCCCCCCCCCCAAAAAAAAACCAGTAAAATTGCGTCCGTGAGCCTTGAGATCTTTGTCCAAATTTGTACTTTGGCCCATGGTGTTGTTAGGGTATTGGGTATTGTATTGTATGAACACAATAACACTAGTACCAGGGTTCTTGTGAAGATTTTGCACATTGCGTTTACGAACTCACACATTTGCCAGGGACACAAAACTTCACAAGAACCCTGACACTAGTGTTATTGTGTTCATACAATACAATACCCAATACCATAACAACACCATGGGCCAAAGTACAATTTTTTTTTTCTTTGGGGGGGGGGGGGGGATATGAAATGAGATATTTTATTAGAATGGCCGTGACAAATCTTTACCAATCCTACAAGCTTCTGACTACTGTTGTACATCTGACCATCGGTGATGAAATTAGTGATTGCCATCTAGTGATTTAAAGTGCCATACATTCTAATCTACTCAAGCTCCTATTATTTTTCTTGATTACTGAATTAAAACGGCACATGCATATACAGACTGAACTCTCAAGAGCCCCCCCCCCCCAGCTCCCCAAAACCCTTTAAAATATTCTTCTATAACCGCGCATGGGTAGAACTTTCATGAAAATAACTTTCGAAAAGTTGGGGAAATATGGATCACAGTATGACAGTACAATTATAATTGGATGAGGCTCTGCTTCATTATCACAGTGGGATTACATGGCTGGAGATGATAGCCCGTTAAATAAAAATAAAAATCGTAGAGACAGGATTAAAGTTTGTTTAAATAATAAAAGCTTACCGTTCGGAACGGAAGAGAATAATATATATCGGTGGTGAGGATACAACTGCCGACAGCTGGTGGAGTACGTCGGTCTCGCCCTCCTCCAGTACACGGTCTGGCTGGCTCGTACCTTGTACCAGGGATGTGCCTTTTGAGGGCTCGTTCACACTCTTCCTCTTCGGTTTATCTTCAAAGCCAGTTTTGTGTAACAATTGTGCGGGCACACCAAACACCGGGTTCACAATCTACTATTTGCATTGCGAGAAGTTTAGCGTATAACGTGCACAGAGAGTGACTCTCCTACACAAGGGACGGCCAGTTAACGCTCTAGTCCGAGGAACGGAGTGTTTCCCCCCTGAACCCGAACCTGCATCTGAGAATCGAGATCAGATCGAAAGGGATGGTCGCGCTTTAATTTGACACAACGCGGCTTCTCTCATTTTTGCATTTTGTGTTTTCTATTTTCTACATCATTCTGTTTCGCCTGTTTTGCTTCCTAAAGTATTTCCCACTACATGTGCATCGCAATGGAGGAGTACAACAAAATCATGATTGATTATCACTGTGTTAAAAATGTAATAAATATGCGAGTAAAACAGCTCCTTCATCAGCAACTCTGGTGTAGTGTTTAACCCGGGCGTTAACCCGACCAGCTGTAATTTCAGGCGGTCAGCTGTCTTTAAGAATGTTCAGTATGTCTTCCAAAAATGTTCAAAAACTGTTTGAAAACATTCAAACGGTTCATTCATGAAACATAATCTGAAGACATCAAGCAAAATAATGACGATAATGATGATGATTTTACAATATCAAAAGTGATAGTAATAATAACAACTAAACAAATGATAATAAAGATAATACCAACAAATATATAATAATAAGAAGAATAACAATAATTATAATAATGTTTCGTTGTGGGGCTTTATGCACCCTCAAAAGGACTTTCAACAAAATCCTTTATACTTTAAACTATTAATGGTATTCTATCGCCTAATTTGATATCTTCCTTATTCTGCTTTTTCTCTCACGGGGACTGAAAAGTGATTTAATGAAGAAAAAACTTTTATTATTATCATTACTTTACTAAGGACCTTAAAGAATACATTTCCTCTGTACTGAATTTTTTAAAATGTTCATATTCATTGAAATAAAATGTCTAACACAAAAAACCACACTTTCAAAATAAGATATATCCTTCTTGAAAATGAAAGTGTTTACAGATACTTTACTACAAACCCATGCCAGCTACGTTCAGAGATCGAGGCTGCACTACTACCCATCAGCATGATGCGGCCCCGGGAGCGCCCCGGGATGCGGCCTCCTGCTGCGTCCCATAATTATGCTATTATTAAAGGTACTATGTCCCATTTGCAGGCCAAAAAATGAAAACGGTATTTCGTAAATTAGTTGTGAAATAGATCGTGTGAATAAGGACAGGTTGTCTAGGTTGGGAATATTGCTGTTGTACAACTGATCCCCCCCCCCTTGTCGAAACCGAGAGCATGTTTGCAATTGTTTGTTCAGGGTTTGGGAAGGTTAATTATGTTTACAGCCCCCATCACACCAAACTAGTTCTCACTATGTTCTCAAAAATGTTGCCAAACTGTGTGCAAACGGAGTTGAACGTAATTATAGCAACTGTTAACGAACTGTTAGGACTTCGTGGACGGGCTCGGACTGGACTAATGTCTCTAATACGATCCTAGTTCGCTTATTAACAGCCCAATATACGTCCAACTCGTCTGTACCCGTCGACAGTGAGTTCGTATTAAGTTCAGATCGGGTAAATTTGACATTTCCAAGCAGTCCAAACCATTTTTTTTTTTTTACTAGTTTGGAACTTCTTCTAACTAGCTTATAACCCAACTGGTTCAAAGACAGTTCAACTCGTCTTTATCTCATTATTAGTGCGTTCGAACGCGCTCATATCGTGCTGTGCAATCCCGTCCTGGTTCAAGTGCTATAAACACCCAGCGCGTTCTTCCTAATTGCTGCTCGACCACACCACGTTTTAACACGTTCCTAGTAGGATCGAAGTACGGCAATTCCGTTCGTAGTACGTCCATCTCGTTTTAAGTACGTTGTCACTCCGTCTAATTGCAGGACGTGAAAAGGGACTCGTTCCTTATGTAAAAAGGTGCACTCATCAGAGATGAAATATGACACTTGTGAAAAAGGAAAGGAACACTTTATATCTGAAGTAAAGGGACATTTTTCAGAAATATTAAAGGGGCACTTTTGGGGTACTCGAAAACGAATTGAGTGGGGGGGGGGGGGGTGCTGTGCCCCACCTGGGAGCGAACCCTATGTGGACGTCGTTCTATATATAGTTTAGATATATATATATATATATATATATATATATATATATATTGTTTTTGTTTTTAAAAGGTATACCCAAACTGAGCACCGGGGAGGGGGTGGGGGATAAAAAAAAAAACCCACTCCTGTCAACATCGCCTCGTACTAATAAGTTTGGGCATATGCACTGAATGTGGGTCAGGTCATATTCATGTTGTTATATTATTAAAACAGTTAATTCTGCTTTATAATTCAGTTATTCACTCCTAAAAGCCAATGTATATAAGCTTTCAAGACATAGTTTCAATCGACATAAAACCCACAAATTAACAGTGTACTAACATCTTGTCTCATCATCTATGATATCTCTTTTCAACTTTCCATTGCATCATTGAATGCATACTATAAGTCTAGTTCTGGACCCTATATTGATTTTTGTTATTCGCCGACTATAAACGTTAAGCCGAGTGATGGCGCGATCCTTAGTGATTGCGCGATCCCCACAAACCGCCGGTAATAGACTAGTACTTTGGCTGGGAGGCGCGGCCAATTTAATTGCTCTCCCTGAAAAATATCAGGGAAAGTCGTCAGCGTTGAGCAATTAGGGACTTTTAGATTTGCACGAAGGGGTGCAATGTGGATTGCTACGATCGACGTTCTTTTAGTGCACTGCCTTGAAAGGACGTCTAACGTATCAGTCCACGCAAATCTAAAAGTCCCTATTTTACTGGACCCTATTACCGGCGGTTTGTGGGGATCGCGCGATCACGCCTACGGAGGACATACTGGCCCGAATTCACAAAGGAGGTTTGTCGACAAATGAAACCTCGGTTTGTCGACAAACCTCCTTTTGTTATTTACAAACCAGGTTTGTAAAAAACGCGTAAAAACGCGTCATATGACGTACATAAACCTCGGTTTGTCGACAAACCTCCTTTGTGAATTCGGGCCACTGTGTATGATCGATTCTCTTTGGCAATGGCAATCACTAAGGATCGCGCCACCACTCGGCTTAACGTTTATAGTCGGCGAATAACAAACATAAATAGGGATCCAGACTAGAACTAAACTAGGCCTAGCACTGGATGGGCGTTAATTGTCGGAACAATATCTTTACATTATGTCTGGAAATTATATCAGCCTAGTTTGCCAGCTCCTCCTCATGCTCTGTCTATTTAAATCTATTCACTGCACAGTCAAGCGAGAGCAAGTGTTACTTAACGTGTTCAATAAATACCTCAACAGAAATGAGCACTGGAAAAATTTCGGTCGTATCCGGAGCTTTCCTCCCCGGACCTACGGCAGCGAAGGTACTCGCTGGAGCGCTGATGGGGGAGACGTTTTCCGGGCAATTTGGAATGTGCCGAATGGGTGCGAAGAACGACATGGGATCGAGCTTCCATTGAGTGACTATGGCATAGAATTTAACAAGAATCATAGTTGGAGAACTGGTGATGTTATTAGCCTGTTCGGTGCTCGATTTATTGGTTATTACCCCTATGTGACTGAAGATGGAACATTTATAAATGGAGGAATTCCACAGGTATCCAATTAATGACCACTTTTTACATTTTAATATAAAGAAAATATATTCTAAGTTTGTGTAAGTAACATTCGAGTATTGTATAATAGTGGGGGCTGTTAGGGCTAAATAGGGGTTGTTTGGTGCAGATTCTTCTAAAAGCACCAAATTTGGCCCAGAGGTAGATTATTACATACTTTTACGATTTCTGCCGGACGCCAAGAAGGGCGCCCTCTGGGTATGCCATATTGGGCAAATCCAAAATGGCCGCCATCTGAGTTAAAGGTCAAGCGTAGTTCCAAATGGAAAAGCGCTTGTATGATAATAGTTTATATATTTATGGGGTGTGGGGGTTGGAGAATCTGATTATGATGTGCTTTCATCGATTTGAGGTCTCCTTAAGGCTGCCATAATGGTCATATTGGTCAAATCCAAAATGGCCGCCATCTACTTGTTACAAGTCAAGTGTAGTTACGAAAGGAAATGGGCTAGTATGATAAAAGTTTATATATTTATGGGGTTTTCGGGGTCAGAGAATCTGATTATGATGTTCTTTCATCGACTTGAAATCTCCTCGGGTCATACTGGTAATATTTGTCAAATCCAAAATAGCCGCCATCTGAGTTACAGGTCAATTGTAGTTACGAAAGGAAATGGGCTAATATGATAAAAGTGTATATTTATGGGGTTTCCGGGTTCAGAAAAACTGATCATTATATTCTTTCGTCGATTTGAGGTCTACTTGGGGCTGTCATGCTGGTCATATTGGTCAAATCCAAAATGGCTGCCACCTTTGAGTAAAAGGCCAAGTGAAGTTCCAAAAGGAAAAGGGCTAGTATGATAAAAAGTTTATATAGTAAGGGGGTTTTCCGGGTCAGAGAATCTGATTATGATGTGCTTGTATCGATTACAGGTCTCCTTGGGGCTGTCATGCTGGCCATATTGGCCAAATAAAAATGGCCGCCATCCGATTTAAAGGTCAAGCGTAGTTCCAAAAGAAAAAGACCCGTATGATAAAACTTGATAAATTCATTGGGTTTCCGGGGTCGGATAATCTGATTGTGATGTTCTTTTATCAATTTTATGTCACCATCCTGTCCTAAGGCTACAATGAAGTCCATTTCCTGGTTGAAGAAGTTTAGGGAAGATGCGCCAAATTCACACTTGAGTGGGTATAAATCTTGGCCTGCGCCCATTATGTTTCATTAACTTTCCTCTGTGAATGCATAATAAATTCGTTTTCGAGGGTTGGCAAGGAAAATAGATAAACAGTAGAAGAAAACCATGACTAAAGAAATAAACAGCTTGTTCGATTTGTTTTGAAGCATTATATTCAAAGACCCGGACAGCTTTATCTTTATTATCCATATAAATAACGTCTATATATAATCACTCTCAGATGGAAGATAATACCAATACGAAATGCATTAAGCAACGTCTAGACATAAAGGTCGAATCTCAACTTTATTTTTCTTATTCTTCTTTTACATTTCGAAGCGTTGCATGGGATCTTAATTCTGTTTTTTCTACATACATTAATGCCCCCATT